GACAAAAGTACACATAGTCAAAGCTATGGTTTTTCCAGTAGCAATGTATGGAAGTGAGAGCTGGACCATAAAGAAAGCTGACCACCGAAGAATTGATGCTTTTGAATTGCGGTGCTGGAGGAGACTCTTGAGAGTCCCCTGGACTGCAAGGAGAACAAACCTATCCATTCTAAATGAAATCAACCCTGAGTGCTCACTGGAAGGACAGATCCTGAAGCTGAGGCTCCAATACTCTGGCCATCTCACGAGAAGGGAAGACTCCCTGGAAAAGACCCTGATGTTAGGAAAGTGTCAAGGCAAGAGGAAAGGGGGATGACAGAGGATGAGATGGTTGGACAGTGTCATCGAAGCAACCAACATGAATTTGACCCAACTCCAGGAGGCAGTGGAAGACAGGAGGGCCTGGCATGCTCTGGTCCATGGAGTCACAATAAACAAAAATATCACTCATCCTACAACTAGTTCAGTTTATATTGGGACTGTTGAAATATAACATTAAACCACAGTTTTATATTATGACAATGAACAGGTTAATTGCTGATTCTTATAACAGGCTCAGAGAGTGTATGCTCATATTTGAGCATGCAGTTTTACCCACCCACCTGCATCTCATGTTGAGTCTTTCTCTTAGTTCTGGGTCCCATGCATATAAGAAATTGCTATTCAACTGAACACACAAATACAGTAAAATGTGGCTAGCTAAGAAGTCATACCTAAGGGAAAGAATGGTTGATACGTACAGAGAAGGAGAGAGTGGAAGGAGATGAGTCTGCATCTTGTGCCTGCTCATTCATGTAATACTGAACCAACATCTATATGGATTGATTTAAATCACTAAGGGAAAAAGACCAAAATAACTGACTAAAATCAAAGCACTACTTTCATTAGATACAGCCCTGAATTGCATTATTTGTGTTTTGTTAAACTACAAAAACATACTGATAATTAGAGTATGCACTCTGAGCCAATTATAGGAATCAGCTAATTCGTCGGCTTAGAACAGGAGTAAAGGGTCACCGATACAGATTAGTGGCTGACACCTGAAGTGACTTGCTAGCATTCCCAGTATCAAGCCAATGTACATAACCACAAGAAATAAATAATGCAAATACAAAAACCTTATGTGTTTCCCTTATTGAGATAATTTTAACAGTTCTTTTAGAAAGAAAAGCAGCCTTACAAATACCATTGTAAGAATGAACAGTAGATTTAAAGCATGACTTGAGTTACTAATCAGAAAGTCCCAATTTAATCACAAAAGGAATTCTTGCTTGTTGTAATCTTAATAGCAATACACATTTTCTTATCTTTGTCCATATTGACTCAGCAATCCTTGACATATCCAGTGTCAAAAATTGTGCAATATCAGAGGTAAAGATTTTACTACAAGGAAATATAAACAAGTGAACATAGCATAGTAGAGGGATAATACCCAGGATTATCACTCAAAAGCAGTGGTTCCCAGACTTGAATCCCCAGTTTTTTTGGACTACAACTCCCAGAAATCCTGGCCAGCAACGCTAGTGATGAAGGCTTCTGGGAGTTTTAGTTCAAGACCATCTGGGCACCGATGGTTGGGAACCACTGCTCTAAAGGAACAAGTATTATTCAAGGAAACTCTGGAATTCATTCAACAAGGTTTCCAAACATTTTGCAGTACTGTTCATCTCGGGAGAAAAAAGAAGTTACTTCAGTAAGA